TTGGTTTGTGGGATACTGCAGGTAATGTTTTGAATTTTCTTTTAGTTAATTATTCATTTTGGTTCTTTCTTTCCCTGGCCTCTATTTGTATTATATAGCACCCATTATAATGTTATACTTTGATGGAACAGGTCAGGAGGACTACAACAGGCTAAGACCTTTGAGCTATCGAGGTGCAGATGTTTTTTTGCTGGCCTTCTCTCTCATAAGTAAAGCTAGCTATGAAAATGTGGCTAAGAAGGCAAAAACCTTGTCCCCCACTTTTTCTTTGCATCATACTGATTTCTTGTCTGTCAAATTTGCTTCTTCTGCTGACTACCTTTGCTCACCTTTTAGTGGATTCCTGAACTGAAGCACTATGCCCCAGGTGTGCCTATAATTCTTGTTGGAACAAAGCTTGGTAATCTTCATGACTTGATGTCTCTGATCAAGTATATGATTGTATCAATGCATATTTGAACCCAAAATAATATTCAGCGTTTACATGCTATGTTGTTCTTTAAGTCATTATACTATGAAGCAAGTAACCTTTATTCTTACGTGACATTGATAATTCTATTGCCATTATTATGTTGTTATGCAATTGCATTGCCTTGAGCATTCAAAGAACTAAATTATCTGAAGACAGTTTAAGAAAAAAAATCTACTTATACCATGGTATATTGACCATGTATGTCCAAGTTTGTATCTGACATGGTAGTGTACCGACAGTTCTTTGGTATTGACTAAAATAATCAAATTTTTAGTAAGTTTTTGAGTGTCCAGATGTGTACCATACTGTATGGCTTGTTACGCTTTAGTCTAATATGATACTTTTACAGTCACCAATACCATGTATATAACTTTATTTTGACAGTACTGCCACTCCAATGATGTCCAGAACAGCTTATTTCCATTGATCATAGAGACTTCCAATTGCCCTTTATCTAAACAAGGTAGCTTGCATAAATAGGGGCGAGATCCAGAATTTATAATGTAATCTTTTTGTTCTCCCTTTTCCTTGAATGGTAAAAGGGTAATAACGATCCAGCTGTAATATTTTTGTTCTGATTTTTCCTTAAATGGTAAAAGGGTAATAGCGATATGACATGGTTCATCAACATTCATGTAACTGTGAAGAACTTATGGTGGCTATTGGTCATGGTCCATGGCTGGAAATATCCCTCCAAGCTAGCACGAGTTCCCCTTCCCTCATTCTTCCTTTTTCTTTTTTTTCTGTATACAACACTAGCAATGTCTTTGCTCTAAGACTAGTGATCCAATTTGGTATTTACATGTCTATCATGGCTCCATAAAGCCAGATTCTGATGAAATAAAGCCAGTTGGTTATTGTTAGAGGTATAGCATAATTATTTACTATTTTATTTACCTGCTTTTTTTATTTCATTATTAGTACATTTTGTACATCACTGTTCAGGATCACCATTGCATTTGCACGATGCATTTATTTAATTATTGAGGTTTTTTTAATTTCTATAAAGGATGGAAAAGAAATTTGCTTTAGTATAGACCTTGAATGCCCTTCAGATTCTCTCAGTTATAACATCTCATTCATCCTATCCTTGAAAGTTCCCTACAATTAACACGTGCTTAAATTCTACAATATTTTTCATTTTTCATGAGAAAAGTTGTTTTTTTATATGTTTTTGTTTCATGCAATGGTCTGAAAGAATAATTACAATTTATTTGGATTTATTGTGGCAAACAAGATAAATATGCAAAGATTTTAATATGAAGCATCTCTTGATTTTTGTAATATATATGACAATGCAATGCAACAAGAAATAACTTTTTCATATTTTTGACTCTTGATCTAAGTAGGCTAATTCCTTTTTTTTTCAGCCTTTTCCAACTCATGTTTTTTTATACAAACAAAAATAAGTCGTGTACTTGTTTGTCAATTCTTGCATTTGATCAATAGAAGGCATGATTTATTAGCATATGTGATGGTTTTCTTAGTGGTATTTTCATTCTTATTTTATTTTTTTGGAATTATTGTTAAGGAATATTTCTGTGGACTTCATCAATCATTGGATTTCCCCAGTTTCAATAGTGTAGAGCAATATCTTTTGCATGATCTGAGATATGCTGGAATTAGTGGAAAGGAACATCTTTTGTTGACTTCTATTATTGACTGGGTACAATTGATGGTGTAAGGCGATGAGCTCCTCTTGTATTCTGGCATTGTCTTTCACCATCATCTTAGAGAAGAGTTGATAAGTTAGATTAAGATTGACACGTGGGTTGAAGAATCTTTGTGGAGTTTTGATCCATTGCATTTGTATATATGGTAAGAGTATACAAGGCTGACCCAAGACCAACTCTACCAGCATTCAACCTGACAAACCATCAGATCAGGATTTCTTGATCCAAACAAACCCATATATTTAATCAGTCGTGTCAGATCAGGTCAAAATGGATTTCCACCTCTAGAGTCCAAAGTGGATGCTTCAACCATAGATATGAAGGTTTTGGCAACATGGAAAGATGTTTTATTGAATGCACTAGTTGCTGTAGACAAGTTTAGCCATCATCGCTATTTGGCCTTAACAAGCATTACTGAGAGAAGACTAATAGTTCATTTTGCAGTTTGGAAGCAGTGTTTCATGTGTAATTGGCATTTTGGAGCAAAACGTTATAAATTAGGCGCATGAGGAGCATTTAAATGGTATAATTGTGAAAAAATCAGTAAGAGAAACCAAGGGATCTTTAGCAAAGGCCAAAGGGTATGTGATGAAGATGAGTTTTGATCACAGGAACTTGCGATAATATGACAATGTCTTTACTAGTTAGGCTAGTTAGCACATTCTGAAATATATCAGGTTCTGAACCCTTAACCCTTGGTAGGTGGGTTCGGTACATCATCAAATTAATATTTAAGGAATAAGTATATTGGATAAGGTTTCAAATCCTCAGTCTTTGGCAAGTTGGTCTACTATATGACCATCGGACCAATGGTTTAGGTGTGAAAAATATGTCAAATAAGTTTCCGAACCCTCAACCTTCGTAAATGGGTTTGGTAAACCATCACCATACTAATGTTTTGAGTGTAAAAATATGTCGGATGATATTTTAAATTCTCAATTTTTAGTAAATTGGTTTGGTATACCAACGTCAGATCAATGTTTTAGGTGTAAGAAATCAAGGTATTATTATCAAATTAATATATTCACATAAAGCAAAACAACTGGAGTTAGTATCATGTATGAGCTAGGTTGGCTGACAAATGGTTGGTGAAATTTCAGGGCAATAAGAAAAGCCTTTCTTCAACCATATCAGAAATAGTTGAGATATAAATGTGATAAGTTTTGGAGCAATAAGAAAAAGCCTTTCTTTAACCATATCAGAAATAGTTGAGATATAAACGCGATAGCCGTAGGTAGAATCACATGGTGGTGCACGTCAATGGTACAACTAATTTCCATAAAGAGAGCAAATTATGCTTTAGTTGGATGCAAGCACTTTATCAATGCTATCTTGATCTGGTGTGTTTTCTTTTGGCTTCTTGTTCTTCAACTGACAGTGCATGGTTTTGCTGGCAGATCTCCGCGATGATGACCAGTTCTTCATAGATCACCCTAGCGCTGTACCAATTAGTACTGCTCAGGTAAGAGTTGCAGCAAATCCTGCAACTTGAAGAAATAAAAGTTCCCTTTCCCTTCTATTGTATCCCGTTCCCAAAACATTGTTGAGGTGCTTATGGTAATTCTCACATGTTTCAAGGGGGAAGAGTTGAGGAAGCTAATTGGTGCTCCTGCCTACGTCGAGTGCAGTTCAAAGACCCAGCAAGTATGTTCTTCTCTCTATACCCTACTTTTGCTCTTATAATGCCTCGCTGATATATTTCTGCTCTTTAAAAATGCCATGTGCAGAACGTCAAGGCAGTTTTCGATGCGGCCATTAAAGTGGTTCTTCAACCACCCAAGCAGAAGAAAAAGAAAAGAAAGTCGCAGATGGGCTGCTACATCATGTGAATATTATGCACATCGAAAAGAATATGACACACTGGCCATCCTTTCTTGTGGCATCTCACTCCATGTAACCCATCAGGTCATTTGGTTCCCCTTCTCTTGTTTGTGTCATGACTTGTTGAGCATCTACCTCCTCCTGTTGTCCTATGCACGTCGAAGATAGATGGAAGCTTCGAGTCCACTTGACTTACGAACATGTCGAACTTGGTTTTGTACCTCAATCAAAGTATGCACAAAAGGCTTGTTTACGGTGTGCAGTGTGTTGTGCAAATCATTAGAATCTGTGATATGGCCCATTGAGTTCCTGTATTTTTTTTCTTCTTTTTATCGAGTGCCTGTCTTACCGCACTCGTAATCCTTCATTATTTTGCGTGATAGTTGCTGTCATGTGTATCTGTTCTTAGTTCTTGTACAGGTGGTGCTGCATTTCACTGTGTTCTTTGGCCCAACCTATGCGGTCTCTGTTTTGGGTTATTCAGGTCATATGAAGCTTGTAACAAAAGACATATATTTTCATGAGAATTGTAAGCATCCTTACATCCTCTTACTGTTGATACTGAGTTGTTTTCCACATTGTTGGTCATATGAGTACCTCAATACTTTTTATGCAGTAATCGAGTAAGGCTAATAATATCAAAATCGTATAACTTTGAACCAATTCAGAAGACTCTTCAACAAAGTCACTCCTCCCCCCTTCCATCACATCCTCCAGCAAAGTATACAAAATATATTTGGCGTCTCCATCAAAATGTTATAAGCATATTTTTTAATCAAAATATTATTTTATTAAAATTTTTAATCAAAATATTATTTTTATTATTATGTAATCAAAGTATACAATATATATATATATATTATTTTTAATCAAAAATATTATTTTTATTAATCGAAATAATAATAAAAATATTAATTTATTCAAATTTTAAAAGACTGTGAATAGGAAGAAGTACTAACCTCTTTTTAGATATTAATTTAGAAAAAAGCAGGGTTTATATTATAATAATTTCCCGAAAGACTACGGTGCGGCGTTTCGCCCCATCCGACCCTTTTCGCTTCTCTTTTTCTTTCGACGTAATTGCGCCATCGATTTATTTGTGGATCCCAATCATTGTGACTCGCTTCGTGGTGTCTTTGCTCCTCTAGGGTTGGGCGTCTTGGGGAGGGAGGACTCGCTCGGCTGGATTTGTGATCGATTGCTTAGATGGACCGCCGTGCTCTTCTCTCGCCGTGGAGATCGAATCGCCTCATATGTGGCGTGAGCAAAATCCTCGATTGTTAGGGACACCGGTGCCTTTACTTGATTCGATTCTTCGGCCTTGCTCTTGGTCGCTGTCCAAGATTGCTTTTTTGCTTTTTTTTACTTGTGTAAATTTCGTGATTGATGTAGCCATTTGTCGTCTTTCCTCGCATCGTAGCCTAAGGTTTCCAAGAACTATGCCAATCTTCTTCTTGATCTTTGATTTCCAGGCTTTCCTTTGTGCGGTGCTGGTAGATCTGTGCTTGATGGCCACTGAGTGCGTTCTCGAAATTGGTGATTCTTAAAAGTGTAAGCGAACGGATCAGTGAAGTGCCCTCTCGCATCTCAGGAATTGACCGCCGCTTGATTGCGTATAATCTTTCTGCGTTACTCTTGACGATGGAAGAAGGGGACCTCGATTTCTCCAATCCTGAGGTCTTCTCTGGCCCGAACGCTGGTGACCTTCCAAGCGGCTGCTCGATGGATAGTGTTTTCGACAACATCTTCAACGACAGCCAGCAGCATACATGCACACACACCCACACTTGCAACCCTCCGGGTCCCGATCTCTCACACACCCACACCTGCTTCCATGTCCACACCAAAATTCTCTCAGCTCCCGCGGATGAGACTGCTGAGTCTGCAGGGAAGAGCTCTCCAACGAAGAAAAGGTCATGCGGCAATAGAGAAGCCGTTCGCAAGTATAGGGAGAAGAAGAAGGCCCATGCGGCATCCCTGGAGGAAGAGGTGGCTCAACTAAGAGCGATTAACCAGCAACTCATGAAGAGACTTCAGAGCCAAGCTGCTCTTGAAGCTGAGGTTGCGAGGCTTAGATGCTTGCTTGTGGATCTAAGGGGGAGGATTGAGGGAGAGATCGGATCTTTTCCATATCAGAGGACTGTGAAAGGGAGTGGAGATTTTGTTTCTAATGTGAGCCAGGCCAACATGCTGGGTGATGCTGAGGTTCTAAACTCATGCGGTTTCCGTTGTGATGATCAGGTATCGTGCCTTTACCCAGGGATGCAAGGGAGGAACGTTGGAGAAAATGGTGCATTTAATGGCCAGGGTGTTCAAGCCTGTGAGATTGGTAATATTCAGTGCATGGGGAGTTCGACTTCTGGATATAAGGACTGTTTTGGCTGCGGAAATGGGGCTGCAACACCTGTTGACTGCTCATCTAATGCCAAAAAGATAGGCGGTCTGAGTTCTCTTTCTCTTCTGCTTTAATACCATTTCCTTAATATTTTGTTAAGCTCCTCTCTGAACTCATAAATTTTCTATTCTTTTTTTTTTTCGTGAAACTCAAATTTAGTTCTTTTATCTTGTCCTTGGTTAAGCATTCAAATCGTGGCTCATGAAATTACTTAATTTTGCTTCTATAAGAGGTCTTTGTATATGATTTATCGTCTCTTCTATACTTCATGATTTATATTTATATGGATGCCCCACTGGTCAGTCATTTGTTTTTTAAATGGACTACTGTATGATCTGGATTTTATAAAATAGTTCTTTGCTGCTGATTAGATTTGATTTGGCTTGTCAGAATCATTATGCACCGGGTTACTTTGGCACATTTGGGCATGTCCTGAAAGCAGTTTGCTAGATGTTAGTTCTAGTCTATGAGTTGTCTTTGTGTCATTCATTGGATATTATTATTTTAAGAAGTTGCTTTCTGTAATCAGTGAGCATTAAACTTTGTGAAATGCACTGTTGTTGGCATGTAGTGAATCAAATTTGGATAGCACTATTTTTAGACATGAGTGCATTTTAGTTTGCTTGTCATTTCATTACTATTTGAAGAGATGAGTCCGTTTGTGGTACTTAGGAAGCATATGTCTACATGTTGGGATGTATTTGTTGCTGCATCCAAAACGGTTGATTTGAATAATTTTAGTTATCTTGGTAACCTTGAATTTTGTATGTAAAATAGTAATCCAAAACGGCTAAGATGAAAATGATGTTTTACTAGGTTGCACTTTCTTGCTGATTTTGGCCAAGCATGGTGCACAATGATCAAATGAACGGAACTTAGACATAGATTCATCATCTTTGATGAATTGAAAAATAAAACCATAAGAATTATATGAATTTCTTTTGACATCATTTTTTTTGTGAAACGTATCAAAGTTAGTCTGCTGGCTGGTAATCCAAGGTTATGCGAGCCACCTATATTGCCTGCTTTATATCTCTTGCTTTTGATAACTAATGTTGTTACAAACTGGACTGCTGAGCTACAAAACTGCAGCATAACTTTATACTCGAAAGGAGCTAAAAAATTATTAGATAATTCGGTCATAAGGAAAGATATGCATTACTAAGAAAGAAAAACTTTGAACATTGTGTTTCTTTTCTGAAAATTGCACAGGAACTACTTTATTTTGTTAGCTAGTGTGTTAATGTACCTTGGATCCTTGACCCTAATTGTAGGATATAATCCTACTGAGAGTTATATGTTTGCACTTGTATTGTTTTGAACTTTGTGTAGTGACCTCCTCGTGGAAGAATCTTTCTCAAGTTAACCTTAGATAAGCACTACTTTACCCAAGAAACCCTGTAGTTAGTCTTTGAGCTGGGTTTTAACACAATGCAAACCGATGGTAATTAGAGTTATTGAATGTTTAAGATTTATTTAAAACATTGTCATGCAACTGGCTAATTTTATAATAATGTAGCTGCTGATGGATTTGACATATACAACAAGAAGCCGGCAATGTCCTGATTCTCGTGGGATAGGTTTGACATACTGTTAATTTGTAAGAGCTCTTAGTGATAAAAACTATATATATTTTTTATTGGACTTCTAGGCAACCGAAGATATCATGAATGATAATTGTTGATGAATTAGCTGTTAGCAGTTTGGTTTCTTCTTTTCTGTAATGACTTGCAATTTTCAATTCAAGAATTACAGAATTAATTTTCTAAATTGAGTCACTTCGAGTGCTTAATGCATTAATAAACTATCCATTATAATTTGACTAATTTGTAATTGAGAAATTTCTTGTGTTTGTCTCTGTCACCATATGTCTAAAGGCTAGTTTGTCTTTTTTCATTGTTTCACTTGGTGATGGAAAAGCACACAATGGTAAAATGGTTAATACGTATGGCATTCAAGAGCATAGGTTTTCCCGTTGAGTTTAAATGGAAAACCTATTATTTATGTTGAATGAATATTTAAATTAGTGAAGTTATTGTTTCACTTGCACAAGGTGTTCAAGTCATGTTACTCTGCTATACTTCACGTCCAGATTCTTCCTTTTTGTCCCCATCCAATTTTTTTGGTTGGTAACTTCCTTTGCTCCATGATCATATGTGCAATCTTATTGTTTCTTGTTTTTATGGTTTTTGCAGGAGCTCATGCGACAAAGGAGGATTTATGATTCGTTCTCCAACATTTGATGGAAGTAATGAATTAATGGTGGTTCAAAGGAAAATTAGCTTTCTTTTGAACTTACTTTTTATTTGTATCCTTAGCCTTTTAAATTGAACTCAGTTATTCTTGGAAGTATATTGATAAGCATATCATGTTCCATCCGAAGTGTCTGATTGCAATATATATATATATATACATATATATATATTGTAAATGTTTTAATTGGAATTGATATCTCAAGTCCTAGTGTTGATGCCTCTCTGCTTGAACATTATATATTGATTGTTTTACATTGGTTTTGGTTTATGATTATTTGTCTTCAAAACCCTGATTTTATACTGGTCAACAGGAGTTTCTATGCATTCATTCTTATTTATTGGTTTGATTTGTACACATCATGCCTAACTTAGTTGCTTATCTTGCAACTATGTGGTTGGCAGTGCACTCCCAGCAGGTAATGCCACAAGTTGTGGTCTCGTAACATATCATATTACTAGGTGTTTCACTGATGCCACCAGTTGATTTTTTTTGTGCTTGTTTACGTGTTTGAGTGGATGGAAAAGTGGCTGATATGATCAATCAGAAGGAAGAATGAGAACGATATACTTTTGTCAAAATGTGTTACATCAATTATAACCGATGCTACAGTTCGTCAGCAATTTATGTACTTTACTAGAAAATGAGTGCCTGTTAAACTTGCATTTATAAATTAGCTGAAAGATGTTTTTCAAAATAAATAAATAAATAAATATATATATATATATATTGAGGAGAAAAAAGTAACGAAGTGAATAATAAAAAGAAATAATATAATTTTTTTCCATTGTTCAAAGTCTCTTTTTTCTTTGAGAAAAATTTTTAGTGAAACAAATTGAACCCAAATGACCGGGTTCACAAATCCAGACCCAGTTCGAAGCGGTCCGTCAGGTTTGGAGTTAAGTGGTCTTGTAATTGGCTCGAACCAGATTAGATTTTGGGTGACGACTCGGTTCATGATTCGGGTTCAACGTGAATTCGAACCAGGACCCAAACAAAACGTTCCTATTTCTATATGTGACGCATCGTAAGACCCCTCTCTCTCTCTCTCTCTAGGGTTTCTCCATGGATCTCCTCCGAGGTTATGCGCAAGACGACGACGACGACGACGACGGCGACGGATCCGAGGAGGGATCACGAGGAGAAGAAGTCGAAAGAGAAGGCGAGAAGCCAGATCCAAACGCGGCGGCGATGGAGGAGGAGGCGGAGGGCGCCTCTTCGCCGGACTCCTCCCCTCCCCGTCTGCTGGCGAAGTCCTCCGCCCCCAGAGTCGACGACACGTCGCTCGCCCTTGCCGCTGCCGGCTCGGCCCGCGCCCTCCACCGGCCGCTCGACCCCACGCAGCACGCGGTGACCTTCAACCCCACCTATGACCAACTCTGGGCACCCATCCATGGCCCCGCCCACCCTTTCGCCAAGGACGGCGTCGCCCAAGGCATGCGCAACCACAAGCTCGGCTTCGTCGAGGACGCTGCCATCCAGCCCTTCCTCTTCGACGAGCAGTACAACACCTACCACAAATACGGCTACGCCACCGACCCCTCTGGCCTCTCCTACGTTGGCGACCTCGAAACCCTGACCAAGAACCAGGCCCTCTCCGTCTACAACATGCCTCAGCAGGAGCAGAAGCGGCGCCGCATCCAGATGAAAGCCTCTGGTGCCGAAGAAGCCGACAACTTGGCTGCCGGCCATGAAGTTGAGAACCCCGCGACCGATGAGTGGCTCCTCAAGAACCGCCAAAGCCCATGGGCTGGGAAGAAGGAGGTCGGCCAGGGCGAGCTCACGGAGGAGCAGAAGAAGTATGCCGAGGAGCATGCAGAGAAGAAGGCAGAGAAGGAGCGCGGAGAGGGGCGGGCTGGAAACAAGGCCGAGCACATGGACAAGAGCACATTCCACGGGAAGGAGGAGCGCGACTACCAGGGTCGTTCATGGATCGAGGCGCCCAAGGATGCTAAGGCTAAGAATGACCACTGCTACATCCCGAAACGCTGGGTCCATACTTGGAGCGGGCACACCAAAGGTGTTGCAGCGATACGATTCTTTCCTAAGCAAGGCCACCTCCTACTCTCTGCCGGTATGGACTCGAAGGTCAAGATATGGGATGTGTTCAATTCTGGAAAGTGCATGCGGACTTACATGGGCCACTCAAAGGCAGTTCGTGACATCTCCTTCTCGAATGATGGTACCAAGTTCTTGAGTGCTGGATATGACAAAAATATCAAGTACTGGGACACAGAGACAGGGAAGGTGATCTCCACCTTCTCCACTGGGAAGATTCCCTATGTTGTGAAGCTTAATCCAGATGAAGACAAGCAGAACATTCTTCTTGCAGGGATGAGTGACAAGAAGATCATTCAGTGGGATATGAACTCTGGCACAATCACACAAGAGTATGATCAACATCTAGGAGCAGTCAATACCATCACGTTCGTTGATAACAACCGGAGGTTTGTTACTTCTAGTGATGACAAGTCACTTCGTGTTTGGGAATTTGGAATTCCAGTTGTTGTAAAGTACATTAGTGAGCCTCACATGCATTCCATGCCTTCGATCTCTCTTCATCCTAATTCAAATTGGCTGGCTGCTCAGAGCTTGGACAATCAGATACTTATCTACGGCACGAAGGAGCGGTTTCAGCTGAATAAGAAGAAGAGGTTTGCAGGGCACATTGTAGCGGGGTATGCTTGCCAGGTGAATTTTTCTCCAGATGGGCGGTTTGTCCTGTCAGGAGATGGAGAAGGGAAGTGTTGGTTCTGGGACTGGAAGAGTTGCAAGGTCTTTAGGACTTTGAAGTGCCATGAAGGAGTATGCATTGGATGTGAGTGGCATCCATTGGAGCAGAGCAAGGTTGCAACTTGTGGATGGGATGGCATGATCAAGTACTGGTGAGTTATCATTCCTTCTACTGCTGGCTTTACATAATGAAAATAATTATGTGTTATTTTTTTTACCATAGTTATTTGAGAATGAGTTTTTTGCTAGCCAACTGAACTTTTGTAGGATTGACTTCTCCTTTCGTTGTCGTTAGTGTCTAAGTGAGCTTTTGAAATGATCGTCAGATGTAGGTACCAAAGTTAACTGCCTTAGAGTTCTCTCTGATTGCATCATTGGTGAAACAAAAAAATGGATTGTTTAAATTTTGTGAGCTGAGGTTGTGATTTGTGATCATAAGAAAACCACCCATTACCTTCCAAGCAAAGATCATTGTAGACTGAACCATTGATTAGTTTCCAACCATGGGTTGGGTGAAATATAATTCATCAGTGACTAAAAGCATCAAAATAATTTTCTAATCTTATGGCAATTTTTTTGCTCTAAATATTTGATTATGTCCTCAAAATAAAAATATACAATATAAAAAAGTATTGGAGGTAACAAGTTTTCTCCAGGGATTTCTTGCTAGGAAATTCCTTTTGCTTCCTAAGAAGAACTTCCATGAGATCAAAGAATTTCCATGGATCTTTGTTATTACTATAGCCTAGTTTCTTTTAACACCTAAGACCATGGCTTTGTCCCTGATTAATTGCCACCAGGTGAGATTTCAATAGGAAATTCTATTTACTTTCTAAGAAAAACTTCCATGAGGTCAATGCATTTCCTTGGATGTTTGATATCGCCATACTCCTGGTTTCTTTCGACACCTAAGAACATGCCTTTGTCCCCAATCAACTGGTATCAATTGTATGGATCCGTTCCATTATGCAGCTGCAGGATTCACATTTTTAATTGTTCCAAGGGCCATCTTCTTCCTTAATTACTATTAATCCCAAATTTCTTTTTATTTCCTCCTCCATGAAACTTGTAACTGGAATGTTGATCTTTTACAATTATCATATAGATTTTGTTCACACATATTTGAAGCATCTTAAACATTTTTCCCTCATCATATGATTTGTGATATGTATGAAAGCTGCAATTAATGTTTTATTCGTTGATGCTGACAATAATTATCCATCTTGCTATCTTTATGTCATATATGCCAAGATTTTGGATATATTACTCTTGACATTCCAATCCACAATTTATGGCAGTCTCTGTTCATGTATTTTTCCATTAAATGTGTGGTGTATTCATGGACACAACACAATGCTTTCCCATTTTAATTTTGTTTTACAAGCAAAAACATTCTCCTCTTATTCATGAGCAATATGTTCTTCAACCTTATTGACTTGTATATTCAGCTTCTATTTTTAATCTTCCATCCATGTCTCTGAATGCTGACCGAACCATACCAGTCTGATACTGTGCCAGCATATGGATCAATACTAAGATATCAAACAGCTTTACAAAATTTTTCCTGTTGTACCAAGACATGTAACATACTGGTTAGTATGTACTGGGCTAATAAGATTACTATATATGTACTGGTATTGAAATACAAAATTCTGATTAATACTTGAATTGTTGCATTTTCTGAGCCAATGACCATACCACATTTGAGTTGTTTCTAAGACAAGAAAGTATCTGAAAGAAAACTTGAGCATTATATGGAGATGCCTAAGTAGCCAAAATCTGCTTGTAGACCACTGAGAGAGAAATTATGATGCACAAAGTATTGTCCTGACATCCAACTATTAAAACATGACTTGACAGTGTACTCCAGATCTTCATTTGATCTTCGTAATACCCTTTGTAACCATTGCATTGACATCTGTTATATTAGCGTTTTCACAATACATCAATGGGAGAGATGCTATGATTCTTCCTTTTTGTCCTCGTAATTTATATTAACATATCATTTCACTACGTATTAGGGTCTACATTTGATCTCTGTGGTTCCTTCTGTGACTATTGCATCGTGAGAAAATTGTGTTTTTTTCATGTATGCCACCTGTTACACAAATTCTTCTACTTGTATAGGCAATTGATTGGTTGGGTGTATCATATATTTAGTTACATATTATTACAATTTCTAAGTTATGAACCACAAACTGATGCTTTTGCCTTCTTTAACCCATTATAAGAGGCTTCTACTATAGACCATGTTAATGGGTTTGTCGTGCTAGGTCTAGACTGCATAACAATTACCATATTGTTATAATAGCATTGCAAAGGATCTTTTGGGAGGTTATAAACAACGGGTCTATGGATAATGAATGTAAGTTTTAGTGAGAACTCACAAGAAGCTA